TAACTAAAATTTATGAGTTTTCAGGAAAAAAAGTTGGGGCGTCCGATGAACCAAGATGAGCTCTTCAAGGAGACTCATATTGTGAAGAAGAAGAAAGAGACGGACCAAGAAAGGTGGGTCGAGGGCCGAGCCTCGACTGTACATGTAAGTTTTCACTTTTCATTAAGAATTTTGATTTACTTTTATATAAATTTGGAAATAGTAATTCACATATTATTTTTCTTATAGGGTCGCTTCACAGCTGAAGTGGAGCAATTCATACGCAGTCAGCCACCTAATGAGTCTGGCGCGCCAATCCAACTATCGGACGAGGATGCTGAGAGAATGTGGACGCAGGCTGCTGGCGGTCCAAAAGGGGGGAAGGTATACGGGCTTCCTAATAAGAAATTCCATTGCTATAAGTGTGGAATGCAAGGAATAGGGACTTCCTCCCAAGCCGAGCAACTTGTTGGGGAGAGCCTCTCCTCTATGCGGAAGACTGTGGCAAAGCTCACATCCGAGCTAGAAGCCTCCAAGGAGAGAGAAAGGCTTAGAGATATGCAGTAGTCTGGCATGCAAGCTCAGTGCAAGGGCATGCAAGAGCAGATCAAAACTCTCCTAGATTCTGGAAATTTTCCAATTCCCCGGTCTCGTGAGTCATCGCCAGAGGCTCGCCTTCCCCATGCTCATTCCTCCCGTCCTCCCCGTGGTCATTCTTCCCATCATCGACAAATAGCCCATTCTAGATACCGTCATGGTGAAGAAAGTTCATCAGACGGTGATGATAATGATGTAGAGAACAATCTTTGAACTTATTAGTTTACGCTAGACAAATACAATTGGTTTTCGAATGGTTCTGTAATAACATTTAACTTATTAGTTTGCTAATTAGTTTAAAGTATAAACTTTATACTTTATTCGGTATAATTGTTGTTGTTGTTGTTGTTGTTGTTGTTGCTTGTTGTTGTTGTTACTTGTTGTTGTTGTTACTTGTTGTTGCTGTTGTTGGCATATTTGCCTATTTAGGAATTTTGGTAAGCTGGCAGGTGGTGTAGCTGCCAAAAGAGGCAGTTCTTGCCAGCAATATACCAAGAAAAGCGACCAACTTTGGTCGCTATTTGGTCGCTTTCTATTAAAAAAAAATAATTTTCTGTGAAATAGCGACCAACCTTGGTCGCTATTTAACCCAGATTTCCAAAAAAGCGACCAAGATTGGTCGCTATTTACCAGAAAATTAACAATTTCTGGAAATATGGCGACCAGGGTTGGTCGCTTATTAATAAATAAAAAAATTAATTCATGTATTTAGCGACCAACTTTGGTTGCTTATTTAAAAAAAATAATTAAAAAATTTATAATATAGCGACTAACTTTGGTCGCAATTTTCCAGATTTTAAAATATAATATCTTGTATGCAGACCAAAGTTGGTCGCTACTTTATAATTAATAATAAATAAAAAAAATGAAATTTACACAAATGAGACCAACTTTGGTCGCAAAATTTATAATATTAAAATAATATTAGCGACCAAAGTTGGTCGCCAGTGTCTTTACCGGAATATTTGGTCCTTTGACTTTAGAGACCAAAGTTGGTCACTAATTAGCGACCAACTTTGGTCCCTAAGGTAAAGGGACCAGCTTAATATCGACCAGGCACGTTTGGTCGATTTTTTGTCGCTTTTTGGCCAATAAGCGACCAACACTGGTCGCTTTTTGTGATCGTTTTTTTCCGGATTTCTAGTAGTGCCTAGCTAATAACTTTTACGTAACAGGGACATACTTTTCTTATCCAGAGTGGAAACAATTTCTTCTTTTAGGTGTAGGCCAACGGCAATATATATATGTTCCCTTAACAGTGATCATGTTCCCAGGCCTCTCTGACTTATTTAGGAGAACTTTTGCATTTACGCATGTTTTTGAATAGCTAACTATTTAACTACATTATATTGATACGTGTCTGGCCATTTCTAGAGACTTCTTGGTGAAAATGACATATTTGGTCGTGGATTGGTAAGTACTCATTCATCCTTAACCTGAGGTCTCGAATTAGAGCCCTATGTATAGAGTCAGTCTTTGTTAAGGACCGCTTTACCCTTTAATGTAAGACTTTTCGATGTAAATCCGGATTTGAACCAGCTCCAATACGGATATCGAACACCAAATCCGAATGGGAAACAAAAGAAACATATTCACGGTCACTATAATTGGGTACAAAAACCAACTTAGTGACTTTCGTACAGTTGAATATACACAGTTTGGCCATTATCATGGTCCTTTAATTTCTTAATAAGGTATTATGTAGGTTTGGTTTTAATGATGATTGGTGTAATTTGATTTGGAGAAGTATTTCTAATGTGTGGTACTCTAAAATTGTGAATGGTACTAGACATGGATTCTTTACATCTTCTTAAGGTCTTAAACAAGGTGATCTCATATCCCTATCCTTTTTCATCATTGCTGCTGAGGTTTTATCTAGATCCCTGAATAGTTTGTTATAGAACAATGCCTTCATTCCTTTCTCAATGCATAGATCATGGACCTCAGATTACTCACTTGGTATATGCTGATGATATTGTGATCTTTAGTAGTGGTAATACAAACTCCATAAAGTTGATCATGAAACAAATTAGGAACTATGAATATGTTTCTGGACAGAAAGTTAACATGGACAAGATTTTTTCCTCACTGATCCCTAAACATGTGCATATAGGATCAACAGAATTAGAACTAAAACTGGATTCCTGGACAAAAACTTCCCTTTTAATTACCTTGGTTGTCCTATTTACATTGGTAGGGAAAAAATCTCTTTTTTGATAACATGTGTGCCAAGGTTATTAAAAGGTTGAATGCTTGGCAAGGTAATATGCTTTCCTGTGGAGGTAGACAGGTTTTGATTAAATCTGTTATCCAATCTCTTCCTATTTATATTTTATCTGCCATCAATCCTCCCAAAGGAACATTGAAGCTCATTCAGAATCATATTGTTAACTTTTTCTGGGGCACTTGTAATGGTAAAAACAAGTATCATTGGACTTCTTGGGAAAAGTTATGTTATCCAATGAATGAAGCTGGAATTGGCATCCGGTGAATGGATGATATTTCTAATACACTTACAATCAAAAGATGGTGGCATTTTAGAGTTAGTAATTCTATGTGGGCTGACTTCCTCAAGGCAAAATACTGCCCTAGGGTACATCTTGTTGGTAAGAAATGGTGCAGTGGCAACTCTCAAGCGTGGAAACACCTACTGTGGGCCAGAGACAAGTGTGAAAAACAGATTACTTGGAAGATTAATGCTGGTAACTGTAGCTTTTCGTGGGACAACTGGACTGAATTGGGACATCTGACACACATTTGTTCAAGCTACATTAACACTAGCAATACCAAAAAGAAGGTAAATGATTTCATGAGTACTAATAGGTGGGATGCACAGATGCTATACAGCACACTACCTAACCAAATTGCACTACACATTATGTCTATAGAGTTGGGCCAGGAATACAAAAATGATTATGCTGTATGGAACGCGACTGAGGATGGTCACTTTACAAATGGTTCTGCTTGGAATATGATCAGGGATCACAGAACAATCAATATCACAATCAACAAGATATGGCACAAATCAATTCCCTTCAAACAATCTTTCTTGTGTTGGAGAATCTTCTTTGTTAGAATCTCCATTAGACAAACTATTACAAGGTTGATTCCCAAGATACTAAAGTTTGTAGATGTTGTCCAATACCTGTTATGGAGACCTTGCAACATGTATTTGTGGAGAGTAGAGCAGCCGGGTATGTATGGAAAGTTATGGGAAATCCATTGGAAATCATCTATCAATACTTACCGATCAGAGGTCTTCTTAATAGGTGGTGGAACATAAAAGCAAGAAACACAGTCCACAAACTAATATTGCAAGCTCTTCCTGTAATTATCTGTTGGGAGACTTGAAAATCTTGGGCTGCATGTAAGTATGGAGACAACAACAACGTTTACTTGTATCGAATGGTTACTATATGTGTTTGAAATATCAAAGCAATTCTTCAAGATACTTTTCCTAATCTGGACACTAATGGTACATGGGATAATCTTTGCAAATTAGTGGAGAAGCTCAAACTTGTGGTCGTATGTACTCCTATTCATTGGAACAAACCAGCACCTGGGTGGATCAAAATTAACATTGATGGTAGTTTTATCAAAGCAAGCAGGAAAGCTGGGATTGGGGGTATTGTTAGAGATAGCAATGGAGATTTCATTTTTGCATTTTCTATCCCGATACAAGCCAATAGCAGCTCGAAAACTGAAGTCATAGCAGTGAGATTTGGGGTAGAATGGTGCACTCAACATGGCTACTCTAATATTCATGTGGAGATTGATTCTCTGATTGTCACTAACATCCTCATCAAACAAAGCTTCAACAACTTGAAGCTACAACATATTATCAAAGGCACAACTACTATGCTTGACAACACTGTTTCTTGTATCTTTCATTGCCTCAGAGAAGCAAACTAAATTGTGGATCTGTTGGCAAAATTGGCTTCTACAAGTGGAAACAAGACCTTATATCACTATCCTTACAACCTTCCTAGAGAGGCAAAGGGGCTGATTCAACTTGAAAAATGACAAATTCCTTCTTTTAGGAGGAGATATGAAAAATATAATTTTTTTTGTTAGTTAAGTTAGATTTATGGATGGAAAGGCTTTTGTATAGGCTACGCCTTTTCTTGTTTAATTGCTTGGCAAACTTTTTGTAGACTGGAGGCAAGGTTCCATGTCCCCCTCTTGTCATTGTAATTTATTCAATATAATACATGGTAGGGGTCCAAGCCTAACCCCCCACACCCTAGGCTCACAACCGAAGGTGATGGTTTAAAAAAAAAAAGAATATACACAGTTCTGGTAATTGATAGTACGTACACGTCAACTTGAAATATTTTTTTTATAACTTCAACGAGATATTGTCTACAATAATAACATACCCAGTATATTTTCATATGCGGGGTCTCTGAGGGTAGTGTGTCCGTAGAAACCTTAACCTTGCCTTGTAAAGGTAGAGAGGTTGTTTCCAATAGACCCTCGTCTCAGAAAGGTAGGGAGGAGGAAAAGAGGAAGAAGAATAAGAAGAAGCATAGGGAGAAAAAGAAGAAGATAAAGAAATAAAGAGAGGGGGAAAAAGAATAAGTATTACCAAAATATTAACCACAGGAGAATTAATACGATAACTGAAACAAACTAAACAATATGATGTAATATAAAGCTGAGAAATAGGAAAGTACATGCGTGCTACTAGTACTACTGGTAAGAAAGTGGAAACTCTCAACTACCTATTACTCTTCTACCCTAATCCTCGACCTTTACACGCTCCTATCAACAGTCACATCCTTAGTGAGCTGAAGCCGCGCCATGTCCTGCCTGATCAGCTCTCCCTAGTACTTCTTAGGTCTGCCTCAACCTTTTCCGCCATGGTCAACCTCTCACACCTCCTAACAGGAGCGTCAATATATACTTCTCCTCGTAATATGTCCAAACCATCTCAGTCTCGACTCCCGCATCTTATCCTCCAGGGATATCACTCCCACTTTGTCCCAAGTAACTTCATTCATAATTTTATCCCTCCTGCACTCACACATCCATTTCAACATCCTCATTTCTGCTACTTTTATCTTCTGCATATGGGAGCTCTTGACTGGCCAACCACCACTCTGTAAAGTTTACCTTTAAATTTTGGCAGCACATTCTTATCACAAAGAGATATATCTAAACGCCTAAAAATATCTTCAGTTGCTTCTGCAGATGTGATATCTCTAATTCTAAGACCTGTCAAAATATCGCACATGATTTCCCAAAATGATAAGTTGTCAATATCATCAGATAGAGTTACATGCACTTTTTAATGTGAGTTTGTCCTGACATTGAAGTACTATACGTCGGACGGTCGGAGACCCTTTTTCTTAGTGAAGGGATGCCATTGGCGATTTGATATGTGCCTTTTCAAAATTTTCCTGGTTGTTTTCTTTTCTTTCCTTTGTCATTGCGCTGTCCAATAATTCAAAGTTAAAAACTTAAAATAATCTACTCAAGCTACTGTTGCATGGAGATTTTTGAAGTAGGAAAATGATTACTTTTCCGTTGAGCAAGAGCGTTTTTACAGGAACTCGCAAATCACTATGATTGACTTTTCTCTGTTCGATTAGTCTGTTTCACATTCGGACATGTTTATACTATTACGCTCCCAAGCAGAATCTTAGGTTGAGCCTACTTGCACACCTCCGTTACTCTTTAGGAGGCATCAACCAAGATAAACTACCCATATTGCAGTGTCCCGACTTCCCCGAATGATTGGTGCAGCGGTGAGGTATCTTTAGACAAAAGAGTGGTCATTCAGGATTGATCGTTCAAAATGTGGTAAAGGTAATCAACAAAAGTATATGATCAAGGCTAGTATTAGTACGCAAGAGACGCGAAGGCAGAAGTTAAGATACAGTTTTGGCGCCAGACTTGGTAATTTTTGTTCAAGCAATGTATTTATGTTAAGCAACTTATTGAATATGTACACATATTAAATTAGGACCCAATTATTATTATTTGAAGTCGTCGATCTAAATTTAGAACCCATATAGTTGAAATTCTGATTCTGCCTTTACCTCGAAGGTCGATTAGGTAGTATAACAGTTGAAATTCTGACTTTGCCTCTACCTCGAAGGTCGACTAGGTAGTATAATGAGTGAATTTTGGGTGCCGATTCTCAAGGCATAATGAAAATGAGAATTTTGGTAAACATAAACCTTCAATATTTAAAGACTAGGTAAAGTTGTTATTGGAGGGCTTTAACATGAAGTCCCAACTTATCTTTTGACCACTTTGAATGGTTTCAAGCTCAGGACAGGTTGAAGCAGTTTGCAATATACTTTTGTAGTTTTTTTATTAGGTTTCTAACAAAAGGACTTGGAAACTTCTGTTTATTACTCTCGTCCCACCTTTGTAATGTATAAAAATAGATCTTAAGGGGTCGTTTGTTTTATTATATGTTGGGATTAGTTATGTTGAGATTTGTTATATTGGGATCAGACATCAGTTATTCTGGAATTAGTTATCGTTGTATTATTTCTTATTGACTGTTTGGTATGTTCTATTATCATGAGATTGTCAATTTTACTGCTTTATTCCGGGATAACTTATCATGGGATTATAGTTCCATCCTCTAGCGGGTAAAAGTTATCCGGGTACTATTTTTAATCCTGAGATAACTTATCTCAGAATTAGTAACCAAACAAGGGATAAGACGATACTAAATTTTTATCTCAGAATTATGTTTGCTTATGCAAATTCAACAATCTTTTCTTCAAACTAACTAATATATTGTACATCAATTACCAAGATTTATGGACTTATTTTGAGTTCAATGCGTGACACCCACATCATCTACATATTTATAATCACCAAAGCCCACATATTTCTTTTGCATGTAATGACAGTAAACCGGCATGCAAACAAGTTAAAGGTAGCAAGTCGGCCCGTTTCATGCCATTGGGGGATTTGCATCTATACCCGCTTTTTGGTTCACGTTTTAACTTGTGCCTGCTTTGCAAAAAAAATTGCAAGCGTACCCACTTTTTCGCGTAACTTCAGCATACGGGGCTGAAGTAGCAAAGACAACCACGCAAAACTTCAGCATTCTAGCAGACGGGCCTGAAGTAGCAAGTATGCTGAACCAAGTGTGCAGAAGTTTTTGTTTGTAATTGTTGAACTTAAGCATACTAGCTGAAGTTTTGTTCTCTATTTGCTGAAGTTTTTGTTTGTAATTGCTGAACTTAAGCATAGTAGCTGAAGTTTTGTTCTGTAGTTGCTGAAGTTTTTGTTTGTAATTGCGGAACTTAAGCATAGTAGTTGAAGTTTTGTTCTCTATTTGCTGAAGTTTTTGTTTGTAATTGCTGAACTTAAGCATAGTAGCTGAAGTTTTGTTCTCTATTTGCTGAAGTTTTTGTTTATAATTGCACTAAATAAGCCGAAGTTTTTTTGTCCTGGATTCATTAGTTTTGTCATTAAGCTTTTTCAAAAACTTCAGCAGAAGATGCTGAAGTTATTTAGTTCATTTATAAAAACTTCAGCACTAAATAAGCTGAAGTTTTTTTGTCCTGGATAAGCTTTTTCAAAAACTTCAGCAGAATATGCTGGATTTATTTAGTTCATTTGGAAAAACTTCAGCACTAAATAAGCTGAAGTTTTTTTGTCCTGGATTCATTAGTTTTGTCATAAAGCTTATTCAAAAACTTCAGCAGAAGATGCTGAAGTTATTTAGTTCATTTATAAAAACTTCAGCACTAAATAAGCTGAAGTTTTTTTGTCTTGGGTTCATTAATTTTGTTATAATCAGACTACTATAAAATAAACAGATTGCCAACAATATCTAAATCATAAAATTTTGGAAACAAATAAACGTGAAAAGAACAGAATTATCATGAAAAGAATCACTAAGTGTGACCTTAAACTTCCCATACGTGGAAATATTCACAAATTATTGTCTACTAACTTACGTAATTATTTATAATTTTTTTTTAAAGAATATGATAAACATACTTATGACAATCATCTCATGAACTGAAGTTTCATAGCAGCACCAACAGCAGCAGAAGAAAGAAGAAGAAGAAGAAGAAGAAGAAGAAAACGAAGGAGGAGAAGGAGGAGGAGGAGAAAGGGGGCTGAAGTTGTTTAAAAAGTGGGTACAAATTAAAACTTTAAAAAAAATGGGTATAGGTTAAATGGGGGCGATCAAGTAGGATGCCCCATGCAATTTTTACTTTGTCATCTCTATACTTGTTAGTCGCCTCAATGAACCATCGGCTCTGATTCCTTAACATAGTATGATATTGTATATCTTTTGCCAAGTATACACAGTCTTTTCCAAAAGGCTTCCGTTGGTTTTTTAAAAGGATGAGGCAGCAAAAAGATTAAAAGTATTGATTGAAAAAGCCTCTCAATGATTTTATTAAGCATAATAAGGCTTTAAATAGCCAATTAGGAACATAATCTGCAGAAAAATCTGTATAACAAGAATTCTAAAAAACTAAAATATCTCAACAAACCTAAAAAATCTAACTGAAATTTGAATTCAAAAAAGTATATTTATCCTAAAATTAAACTTACTTATTATGCTAAAAAATATGCAATAGTAACTGAAGCAAATCATCAACACTCCTCATTTGCTTCAGTTGCTCTAAAACAATTGCTCCTCCTCAATTACTGCTTCTGCTGTTTGTGCTTGAGGATTGTGTTGAGCGTCTTTGAACTTACACACTTTTGTAACATGGCATATTTGTTTGCAAATACCACATATTGCATCATGTCTCCACTAACAAAAATTTTCTAGGTGTGTTTTCTTTTTACAGTATTTGCAAAGAGGATAATTGATCTTTTCTTTTTTGTTTTGTGCATAAAAAGCACCTTCAGTGACCATTTCTTGTCTAAATGCTCTTCTTTGTTCTTGTGCTTGAAGAGCACTTATTAATTCTGCAATAGAGATGGTGGAGAGATCTTTAGACTCTTCTAGAGAAGAAATTTTGGACTCGAATCTCTATGGAACCGTCACAAGAATTTTTTCAACTATTCTGTCATCTTTGAAATCCTCACCAAGCAACCTGATTCTATAACAATAGAAGAAATCCTATCAGAATACCTTGTGATAGTCTCGTCTTCTTGCATTTTAAGAGATTTAAAGTTCCTTTTCAAATTTAAAATCTGCATTTGTCTGACTCGATCACTTCCTTGGTACTCCTTTTTAAGCTTTTCCCAAGCTTCTTTTGTTGTCTCACATTCAATGATTTTAGAAAAAATTGAATCTGCAACTGAATTTAAATCACAGTTTTGGCTTTGTATTTTTTGGTTTTCTCTTCTGAATAGTTTTTAATTTGGACAAGAGTAGGATTTCAGGGAGTGGTTGTAATGGTCTATCTTCCATTATAACTTCCCATAAGTCATAGGCTTTAAGATATGATTTCATTTTTACTGACCAGATCTGATAGTTTTCAGTAGTGAAAGTTTGTGGGGCATTCAAAGAGAGATCACTGCTGCTTGCCATGTTTGAAAATAGGTTTAAAAATTGATATTGGTTAAAAATAAATTGAAAATAATTTTTTGTAAGAACTCACAAATCCCGTAAGATCAATGAGGCTCTTGATACCACTGTTGGTTTTCTAAAAGATGGGGCAACAAAAAGATTAAAAGTATTGATTTGTTATGAAACAATAAAAGAAGAAGAAGAGTATTGCAGAAAAAAGTAGGGAGATACAATTCTTATTGATTTTTGGGATGATTTACAATGGGGTAAGAGCCCTCTATTTATAGGGAAAAAATGACTTAGCCACAAAGTAAAAATCTCTACAAGATAGACATTCACTCTAAATAGAATTATATCCATAACACCCCCCCCTGAATGTCTAATCAACAGATAATGTGCCTCGTTAAAACCTTAACTAAAATACAACCAGTGAAAAAAATTCTAGAGAAGGAAAAAGAGTACACATATCTAACAATACGCCTTTTGGTTGCCTCGTTAAAAACCTTGCAAGGAAAACCCAGTGGGACAAAACCTTATAAGGGAAAAAGAGTACAACACGTATTAACTCCCCCTGATGAGAGCATCAATTAACATCTCTAAGCCTTCGCATCTCAATCTTGTGCACTAGCTTCTTGAAGGTTGACGTCGACAGAGATTTGGTGAATAAATCACCCATATAAACTTTAATGAATATGTTGCACCTTGAAAATTCTCGCTATCACATTATCATGCTTATAGTTATAGCAAGATACAAATGTGCGCAAATATCACTTAGGATATGGTACTTCAGGACCAAGAATTGTATATGGTTTAAGCGATTTAAATCCTTCAATGATTATCATATAAGTCATATAATAGACTTTAATTAGATGCATATCAAGTTTTCATGTCATGCTAGACAAATAAGATATCGAAAACTGATTGCACATATCATTGACTTTATACTTACAAGTGTTTGAACTACATGTCCAAAAATACATGTCTTTCATATGAAACCAATTCTATTTGAATTGTTTCTCTTGACTTAAGATCCTCATATATATATAGCGCTATTATAGATGTCGCCGACAAACATTTTATATTGGTTCCAACCTCCTTATTTTTCATAAAGACATAACATAGAGATCTCTTCATTCATATATTCAGGTACCTGAATCTCTCATGAGATTTAATGAAGTGTTATGTCATGTGATCTTCTAGATCACTTGCCTCCTTTATTATGATCATTTTGATCATTTGCTCATCTTCTTTATCAAGAAGTTTATTTGAAACCGATTTGTCTATATGCTTTAAGCGTACCATAGTCTTTGTCCTTCTTGGACTTAATATGAGCATTTGCAATGAGAATATAGTTACTTTCTTTGGGTCAGCAAATGCGTCTGGCATGCTTTGCAATATATTGCAACTGAATTATCCTTTTATGAACTTCAAGTTCATATTATCTTATTCGAGGATCTAGATGTATAAGTGATAATTCATTCCATGTAACTTTTTCTTAATTGTTTATCATGTCTCTCCCTCATGTTAGAAAAACTAACTTGTTTTCTCAACTTTGAGAATCCATCTTTGTGCGTTATGGTGTTAATCAAAATATACACCGCACATCAATAATAATAAGATGGAATTATTTGGTTCCTGACCATGAACCACTTGTGAGGGGAGAAATTAGTATACTTTCGTATATAACGTATATCAAACTGATATATAAACTTTGTTCTCATAAGCAATTTGTTAGCTATTAAGTGAGGCACTCAATAATATTTGC